GAAGCTACTTATTTTCTTTAATTTCCATTCTGATTCACCAACAACTCTACCTGTTTTACAAAGGCCAAGTTGTTTGTGACATCTGCCAAAATAATTTCCTACTGAGCAGGGCCAGATTAACACTTTGTTGTACCCTGGGCAACAATATTACAGGGCCCCATCATCACGACCCAAGGATCACCATAATATGGTCACATAAAGAATATTTTACTGTAATATGCAGTAAATATACTCAACACTTGAATGCCTGATATCGCGTAACTCGCTCAGGGTAACCTTTGACCCGCCTCGTGTGGACTGACCAATGAGGAGAGGGTCTTAACTTGAGACCCTCTCGTCATTGGTCAGTCTGCATGAGACTGACTCTCAACTGCTCTCAACTGACGATCAAAGTCATAGGCAGCGAAGCGTCTGTGCAGCGCAAAAGCCCGGGTGGACAGTTTGTTTAATATAGGGTGACCATATTTCCATTTCCAAAAAAGAGGACAGGGGATCGTCACACTATGGCAACACCACACAAACCTCGCTGGGACCCATTTTTTTGTAAGAACTAAATTAATATCAGATTCTGCCAACAAAAGGGCTCTAAAACAATTCATATGTAAATATTTTGCATATTTATTGCAAAATCTCATTTTTCTGCTTCAGTGCTGCAACAAGGTTTTATTAATAAGGAATTATTATACCTTTTGTTTTACTACAGCATCTGTATGCCTCCTGTGCACAGATTATTAAGGATGCTTGTTTCAGCTGTGAGATTAGACATAGGATCAACGATAAAATAAGTTGTCACACACTCCATGGAAACTTTCAGAGAATCCACAAATAGTGGCTTTCAAATAGTTTTGTTACTTTTTGCAAGTTTAGAACAGCAGCAGATGAGACAGCATGTCTGATAATTTAGTTTTTCAACTGATAATATTAGACCATGTCAGTAATGTCTGAGGGACTTTTATAAACACTGTATAACTAATACTCCTGGAGAGGGTTTACACAGAGGCTTCAGGGGAGCCCAGTTCTGTTTTGCCTTGGCCCCCAAAATGCCTTGAAACGGCCCTGGGTGTGTGTCTGAGTTTTGAAGGTGATCTGAATTGTATCAGATGTATAAATATTACATGTGTATAACTTATTGTTTTATACAGGTAAAAACGTGTAGTGGAGATAAATCTACCTATGTTTTACTTTTCAACACTTTGTTTTGTTTTCTTGTTTTTATTGAACTTTTTTCCTGTCCTGTCTGTCTCTCATCTTCCTGCATCTCCTCTAAACTCTCCAGAAAAATGCTGCCTGGATTCTTACTTTTTCACCTCATCAGTTACTTTTGAGCAGATCAAAGGGATCTCCTGACCGCAAAGCGGAGTGCGCGTCGATGCTGCGTCAGTGAGTTGAAATCACTGCAGCACAGGTGATGAGCTCCGCAGTAGCAGAGCGCTTCAGGCACAAATAACAGAAAGTAGAGAACATGTGTGGACATGAACCATCGTGTGTTAATTATAGTTTTTTGGTTGTGCCACTTTGAGAATGGACCGTGCGCTGGACGCAGCTGCCTGGAGCGCTGCACACCAACGATCATCGCTCTGCCACTCTCTGCTCAAAAGAGTCATGAATGATGTAATATAGGTAGAAAACGTTTCTTTTTTCCGGCTCTCCCTGGATGTGTAGGATATCCCCATAATTCGATCCCTGCTCCTGGATGAAAAACCGGACATTTTCATCAATACAAGAACCCCCGGACGCCAGACAGTGAGTGAAAACGGACATGTCTGGGGAAAAGAGGACTTATGGTCACCCTAGTTTAATATAAAGCGAGAGATTACAGATACAGTATTTTGCTCGTGCTCTTGCTGCCCTGGGTCTGGAACCTTTAGGGTTCGTGAGGCCCTGGGCAATTGCCCAGTTGCCCATATGGTTAATCTGGCCTTGCTACTGCAACCAATCAGCATGAGTTAGCCACAAGTCCCGCCCAATGATTCTACCTGGCCATTTCCAAGTACATACAGGTGCTGGCCAGTAAATTAGAATATCATCAAAAGGTTGAAAATATTTCAGTAATTCCATTCAAAACGTGAAACTTGTACATTATATTCATGCAATATACACAGACCAATGTATTTCCGATGTTTATTATGTTTAATTTTGATATTTATAGGTGACAACCAATGAAAACATCAAATCTGGTATCTCAGAAAATTAGAATATTCTAAAGGCCAATGAAAAAATGTTTGTTTCTCTAATGTTGGCCAACTGAAAAGAATGAACATGAAAAGAATGTGCATGTATAGCACTCAATACTTAGTCGGGGCTCCATTTGCCTCAATAACTGCAGTAATGCGGCGTGGCATGGACTCGATCAGTCTGTGGCACTGCTCAGGTGTTATGAGAGCCCAGGTTGCTCTGATAGTCGTCTTCAGCTCCTCTGCATTGTTGGGTCTAGCGTATTGCATCCTCCGCTTCACACTACCCCATAGATTTTCTATGGGGTTAAGGTCAGGCGAGTTTGCTGGCCAATCAAGGACAGGGATACCATGGTCCTTGAACCAGGTGCTGGTGGTTTTGGCACTGTGTGCAGGTGCCAAGTCCTGTTGAAAGGTGAAGTCTGCATCCCCATAAAGTTGGTCAGCAGCAGGAAGCATGAAGTGCTCTAAAACTTCCTGGTAGACGGCTGCATTGACCCTGGACCTCAGGAAACAGAGTGGGCCAACACCGGCAGATGACATGGCACCCCACACCATCACTGACGGTGGAAACTTTACACTGGACCTCATGCAACGTGGATTCTGTGCTTCTCCGCTCTTCCTCCAGACTCTGGGTCCTTGATTTCCAAAGGAAATGCAGAACTTGCTTTCATCAGAAAACATAACTTTGGACCACTCAGCATCAGTCCAGTCCTTTTTGTCCTTGGCCCAGGCGAGACGCTTCTTGCGCTGTTTCTTGTTCAAGAGTGGCTTGACACACGGAATGCGACACCTGAATCCCATGTCTTTCATGAGTCTCCTTGTGGTGGTTCTTGAAGCGCTGACTCCAGCTGCAGTCCACTCTTTGTGGATCTCCCCCACATTTTTGAATGGGTTTGTCGTCACAATTCTCTGCAGGGTGCGGTTATCCCTAGAGCTTGTACACTTTTTTCTACCACATTTTTTCCGTCCCTTCGCCTGTCTGTTAATGTGCTTGGACACAGAGCTCTGCGAACAGCCAACTTCTTTAGCAATCACCTTTTGTGTCTTGCCCTCCTTGTGCAAGGTGTCAATGATTGTCTTTTGGACAGCTGTTAAGTCAGAAGTCTTCCCCATGATTGTGGTGACTTCAAAACAAGACTGAGGGACCTTTTAAAGGCCTTTGCAGGTGTTTTGAGTAAATCAGCTGATTAGAGTGGCAGCAGGTGTCTTCTATATTCAGCCTTTTCAGAATATTCTAATTTTTTGAGATACCAAATTTGGAGTTTTCATTAGTTGTCACTTATGAATATCAAATTTAAATGTAATGAACATTGGAAATACATTGGTCTGTGTGCATTGCATGAATATAATGTACAAGTTTCACGTTTTGAATGGAATTACTGAAATATTTTCAACCTTTTGATGATATTCTAATTTACTGGCCAGCACCTGTAAACCGAAGCAAGTACTTGGCTAGTTTATGAAATGGCCTGTAAAGTGGTCCTTTCAATGAAATAGAGACATGTGCAGACAGTGAATCTCAGGTAAAATCACCTGGAAGTTCTGATAGAGGAAGCAGGCTTTATTTCTCAAAACAGACTGTAACTATCAGCAGTGGGTAAGATAACAACAATAATTTTTAGTAGCAGTGTTTTTTAAAAAAAAATTTACATTTCATTCTTTGTAAATTTATTAATTTAATTTCCAGCATATGAGTTTCTAGCCTGCGTTTAGGGGTGCTGCTGAAGTATTCTTAATTTGAATCCAAGCACCCATAAAGTTTGAGGTTTATTTAATTGTCTATCTATTCTTACTGTACGTGGTTATTTTACAGTAACTTGTAACCAAATAGAATTGCAGTATTTTTATATTGTTTGTTCTTTGTCTAAAAATACTTTTACAAGACTTACAACACTTGCTTTAAATATTTTCAGTGTATTAGTCTTTAAGAAATGGAGAATTAGCGCCCTCATCTGGTAATTAATAGAACAACACTCGTTTCCAACAGCATTTAGAGATGAAGGAAAGATGGGGAGTTTCTGCCCTCTTGTGTCTGAATTTTATACTACACTTTTGGTCTTTTCTTTTTAGCCGTCCACGAGTAAAAATCATGACAAGTGCAGGAAGAATAACCAGGGACGTGTCCAGGGAGCGGCCTGGGGTTGCACATGCCACCCTTTAGAGTCTGATTGGCCACCCCACGTGCCACCCTACTAAGTTCCAGTTTAAATTGACTTTACATTGTCGACAAAAGGCTTGGGTTGTAAACTCCAAAATAGTGCGTGGTTGCATGCACCTTTAACATTGTCTTCTAGCCCAGACCTACAGAACATTTCTGTAGTATTAATATTACTTATTATTTTTTCATATTCACATAAATAGTATTTAGAGTCCCACTCAACTCCAGTTGGTGACAATAACGCAACAAGAAGTGACATGCTAACCACCACAAAACTAGAAGATGAATAGAAAAAGAAATGGTGATTGTGCTATGTGAAACTGCAAAATTCACTAGAGAGTAAATAAATAAATAAACGATTTGTGTAGATAAATAAATAAACATAACCATTGGTGCCACCCATGCATAAACAAGTGCCCCACATGGGTCACCCCATTTTAAAAGTCCTGGACACGGCTCTGAGAATAACTTTACATGTACTTATTTATTCGTATATTTGGTTATTTAGATACATTTAATCAACATTATGACACAAATATTTGATCTTTGTTCTTTTTATGTCTAAAAACAACAAATTTCCAAGTTGATAGTTTTATTATTCTGTTTAACAGAAGTTGTCTGAAGTGAAACCAGGAAGCGTAAGCCTGAAAAAGCGTGTCAGCTGACTGATGACGTTCAGCTCGAGTAACTTCGAGGAAGAAGCACGTTTTTTCAATCGATAGATAACAACGTAAGAGCCGGCTCGAGGGAGAAACCCGTAGAAGAGGCCGAAGTGATCCATCTGAGGAGCAGAAGCCACTGTTGCGTATACAAAAGGTGAGACGGGGTTATTTAAGCTTGCGTGTTGTTATCGATTATCCTTTATTAAACTTTATTCGACTAAAATGCGAGTTAGATCTGGTTTTGTCACTCATAACGTGGCCTAGTACCGGTTCCAGCCGGTTTCCGGGTATTCCACCCCTCTAGACTCAAAAACCTGAATTTAACTTTACCCTGTTCTTGTTTTCATCTAAACTAAATCTTAGAAGCTTAACTGGATTTTTGCCCAATTTTTTCTTAGATCTTATCTCTTGAACTGTTATGTTTTTTTTTCTTAAAATACTGCTCTAGTTTAATTTACATGGTACCTGTTTACTGGTGTGTTTTTTTAAAGGTTTTGTAACAAAAGTATCTGTGTAACTTGTAAGAGAGCTCCCCTAGTGGCTGATGTGTGTTTTAATTTAATTTATATTTATTAAATCTGTTATTGTGTGGTTGTTTTTAAGAAACTATGACAGGAGACGTAGAAAAAGGGAAGAAAGTGTTTGTCCAGAAGTGTGCGCAGTGTCACACTGTGGAAAAGGGTGGGAAACACAAAACAGGACCCAACCTTTGGGGCCTCTTTGGACGTAAAACGGGCCAGGCAGAGGGATTTTCCTACACCGATGCCAACAAAACCAAAGGTAACATTCCACAATATGCATCATTATACCACTGATTTCCCTCATGTTGTTCCTTTTTAATTGTTTATTCTTTTCTGTAATTCCAGGCATTATTTGGGAAGAGGATACTCTCATGATTTATCTGGAGAACCCAAAGAAATACATCCCAGGAACAAAGATGATCTTTGCTGGCATCAAAAAGAAGACTGAGCGTGCCGACCTTATAGCATATCTCAAGTCTTCCACCTCATAAACGAGCCTCTGCACATCTTACCTTAGTTTACAGTTTTGACCAACTTCTCAGGAGACCAAGACTAATACGTAAATGTTTTTTCTGTTTAGAACAAACAGAATCCAGTCCAGGTGATCAAAGGTCTGGGCTGTGTCTGGGCTGTGTGTGATTTATATATCAATTGACCTCCTTGCTGTTGAGTAAACATCTGGTTTTAACAGGTGACTTCCTCTCTTATTGAATTGTGATCCACTGTGGAGACAGAAAGTTATTTTTGATATTTTCTATGTGTAATTAGTCTTTTCTTCTTTGACGGTACCTCAGCTGTTCTATCAATATTTTCAGCTTTTGTAAGTTGAATAAAACTGACACTAAGCGATTGAGTTTTGAGTGTTCGTTCTTTTGATAAATTAATTTGCAGTTCTGATGTGGCATAAATTAATGTTTCCTGAGTAAACAGCTGAGCATTTTTTTTATTTGGGGTTTTTGCAAATTTCACGAGATGTCTGCTTCAGATGACAGGAAGTCCTAAAGATATGCAGTGGGTAAGATCCAGCTGTTATAAACTATTACAGCAGCTTAATACAACAGTCATATAGAAATAAAAATTGACCCTTTCTGCCTTTAGATCCCTCTCAAGAGACTAGTTGATATATTTATTCACTGTACATCCTTTTATTTGTGAATCTTATTTTCTGCTGTCAAACATTTCCTTAATGAGGCACATGAGTTTTCTAATGTATATATGTTGGAGGGCTAAAGTCTGCATGAATTAATGAATGTAAAAAAAACTAAATTCAGATCATTGAAAACTTTTTGGACTTCGGATTTAAAAATAAAAGGTACTTTTATGGGTTAAATGTGCATTTGGATCACTTGAGGTAATTTAACAGAAATGTTTCTTTAAAAATTCTGAATTCAAGATCTTTATGTGAAAATGAGTTGTTTGTTGAAAAACTAACAAAAACACCAAATAAATATCTAGATGATTCAAATAAGTAATAATTTTTCATCATACCATTAAACATGATGCTGAATGCTTTAGAAAGATTTCATGAAAAAGTTATTCCTTTTTTCCAAAGATGTTGCACCATGTTCTTCCTCATTATTCCCCCAAAATATAGTTCCAGATGACACTTTTATTGCCCCTTTTAACTAAAGTTTGACATCTTCAGCCTGATTTGCTAAATTAGCTGTTCAACATTTTGAGTATCACTCCCTCTTGTGTCCAAATGTTGCTACTGCACCCATTTTCATTTTTAATTCATAGGAATGCGATTTTCTGACACGCTCGCTCTGCCAATGAACGTCGCTGTTACATAACCTGATGATCCAGACAACTGCAGACCTAGAATCAGCTAAAGTTTGGGGGGTTCATGAATGAAACATCCATTGATGTTTTCTGGAGGGTTTTTATTTTTCTCGAAATTTGCTAATAAACAAAATCCATTTTTATTAATCAGATGTTTGTCTCAGACAGATTTCCTAGAGATTTTAAATAAGATAAGCACTGAGTCTCTGTAAAGGGGAGTGGGTTCAGCTGGCCAGAGGGCTGATACTGAAGCAACCCTGAGCTTCTGCCTGCTGTGTGACGAAGCCAGCATTAGCCAACCACAGCCCGCGTCATCAGCACAAGAGGACACACACCTCGGAGCTGCCGAGTGAGATTCCCGCTGCCTCTGACGCTCCAACCACCCTCACTTTACTTCTGTGTTACTTTACTTAGGTCTGCGCTCATTAGCCTAAACGATGTGAGCGCTGCGGAGATGCTGTGCGGGAGCGTGCCGGTGCGCAAAAGGAGAGTCTCCATCCCTCTCCTCACAGAGAAGAAGCTGGATTCGGAGCTCCAGATGTATTTATTCCCTTGTACCACGCGCCGGGGACGAAGTTGTGCGTTATTCTCTCCACTTTAACCCTCAGTAAATCCTCATTGATGAGATTTCTCTGTGCGTCTCCAAGGCTTTGGTTCACAGAGGACCGTCTTATGAAGCGCAGCCATGGCAGTGGCGAATATGCTGTTCTCTGACGTAGAAAGTTTTCTGGACTCGCACCCCGACTTATTCGAGGACTACTTGAACAGGAAGGGCAATTATAGCATGGTGGAGAAATGGCTGAAGAACCACCGGGCGAGCAAAGGTCCGACGGCCGCCGCGGCTCGGGCCGAACCACGCGAGGAGAAGGGCAGCGCGTGCAAGGACAGCTGGGCGAGCAAATGTGACGGTCTGCAGCGGAGAGCGTCTCAGAAGGAGCTGCGCAAAACTTTCGCCAGATCCAAGGCCATAAACGTCAACAGGACTTACGACGAGCACGTGAACTCCAGGGCGCAGGAGCCGCTGACGAGCATGAGGAGGAGAGCCTTGCTGAGGAAAGCCAGCTCTCTCCCCCCGACCACTGCGCACATCCTGAGCGCGCTGCTGGAGTCCAGAGTCAACATCCCCCAGTACCCGTCCACCGCCGTGGATTTTAAATATTACCTCAAACAACACAACGAAAGAGAGTTTTTCCTGGAGCTCGTCAAAGACATCTCCAACGACCTGGATCTAACGAGCCTCAGCTACAAAATCCTGGTGTTTGTTTGCATCATGGTGGATGCAGACCGGTGCTCCTTGTTTTTGGTGGAGGGAACTGGCAACAAGAAGACACTAGTGTCCAAATTCTTCGACGTGCATGCGGGCACCACGGTGTTGCCTTCAATGAACTCGGATGAAGTTCAGGTGCCGTGGGGGAAAGGGATCATTGGATATGTGGCCGAACATGGAGAGACCGTGAACATTCCTGACGCCTATCAGGTGCTTATTGTGCATGTTCATGAGACGCAGACACAGGAGAGTCAGTTTGTCTCTTCTTTCCTAGATGAGTGACACAATGAAGACTTTTTAATAAACCAACACCAACAGATTCTTTTAAAATCTCACAAAGTCCTAAATTTGAGCAGGAATTCATTGTCATTTAAGTAGTCTGAGTTAAAGGAAGAAATAAAACTCAGGGACAATTTATGGAATTATATTTCAAATTAAAACAATTCATTTTAGTTTTTTAATATAACTTTTTATTGATTTCTGCATCTTTGGTTGCAGGACCGTCGATTCAGTGATGAAATCGACAAGCTGACAGGATACAAAACCAAGTCCCTCCTGTGCATGCCCATCCGCAACAGTGATGGTGAGATTATCGGAGTTGCTCAGGCCATCAACAAGACCTCAAGTGGGGAGCTCTTCATCGAAGATGACGAGAAGGTAATTTCATCATTGGACTTGTGTCAGTGACATAACTAACGTGCATGGATCCAAAACCTTTAGTGCATCATCTCATTGAGCACTGAGTCCCTTAAAAATGTCGTCGTTGTCGTCTTCCTCCACTTATCCGGGTCCGGGTCCAGGTTGCGGGGGCAGCATCCCAACTAGGGAGCTCCAGACCGTCCTCTCCCCGGCCTTCTCCACCAGCTTCTCCGGCAGGACCCCAAGGCCTTCCCGGACCAGATTGGAGATGTAACCTCTCCATTATGTCCTGGGTCGACCCGGGGGCCTCCTGCCGGCAGGACATGCCCGAAACACCTCCCCGGGGAGGCATCCTGACCAGATGCCCAAACCACCTCAACTGGCTCCTTTCGATCCGGAGGAGCAGCGGTTCTACTCCGAGTCCCTCCCGAATGTCCGAGCTCCTCACCCTATCTCTAAGGCTGAGCCCGGCCACCCTACGGAGGAAACTCATTTCGGCCGCTTGTATCTGCGATCTCGTTCTTTTGGTCATTACCCAAAGCTCATGACCAAATGAGGATTGGGACGTAGATCGACCGGTAAATCGAGAGCCTGGCTTTCTGGCTCAGCTCCCTCTTCACCACGACAGATCGGCTCAGCGTCCGCATCACTGCAGACGCCGAACCAATCCGCCTGTCGATCTTAAAAATGTGTTTGTGGAAATTTCCAACAACTTGAAAGAATGCTAAATAGACAGAAATAAACTTGAGACTGTTTGAGACCAAACCCTCTTATTTTTGTAAACAGCCTTTTGAGAGTAAAGCAGTCACTAAAATACACCAGTGGTTTCCTTTTGCTTTGAAACACTGAAAAAGGACCAAAATCTCCATTAAAGTGTACACTCTATGAAATGAAACATTGAATTTACTTAACCAAGTTATCAACTGGTTCCATTAAACCTATTGCTTAAAGTGACAATGTGTATTTTTACTTTTAATCTCTAGAAATATCCATCAAAATGTTGTTTAAAATTACTAAAATCATGTCTAGTCATTAAAAAAATGATTGGCGGCTTTGTAATATACAACAATAAAATTTTAGTCTAGAGTATATAGCATCTTTGGGGGATGTTATTAGACACCATGTTTCCTTCTGGCCGGCTCAGGGTCCTGCGCCTGCCGATGATGTCACACTAGAAGATTGGCTGGCTATACGATGTTAAGTAGTGACGCACCGATAGGGAATTTTTGGACCAATGCCAATATCACTGTTATGGCCGATAACCAATATTTGCAGATACCGATAAACTGACACTGGTGCTTCTAAAATCAGCAGATTTTGTATAGAATGAAAATGACTAAAACTGAATTTACGTTATTATGTACACACACCACACACATTAACGCTTCTGAGACAATTTCATTCACTGTGACATGACTAAACAATCACATCACCCCTTCACCCTCTGAAACAAATACACAAATGGAAACAAGATGGAAAAAATATATTGGCAAGGCAGCTTTATTTGTATGGTACCTTAACAACAGTTTAAAACCGACCAAAGTGCTTCACAGAAATTAAAACATCAAAAAAACAATACACAACATAAAAAGCATAAAAAACTAAAGCTTATATTAAAAAGACTCATGCTGAGTTAAAAGCCAAATCATCAAAATAGGTTTTCAAAAGAGATTTAAAAAATATTGGTTGTTAACACGGGCCCAGTTTTATTTATTGGACCGATACCGACATTGATGCAGATATATTGTGTATCCCTAATGTTAAGTTGTTACGACGGTCAAAAACATTTAAGAAACTTGAATTTAATAACAAAACTGCTAAACTCTTTTCAAAACCTGTATGTGAAAGAACAGAACTGAAAAAGAGATGCAATATATTTGGCTGAGTGGTATTGCCGTAGTATGATTAGGTCATCAGCTGGCGCAGGGCCCCGAGCAGATCTGGAAACTACAATCAACATTGCATTCTCTTAATGGAATTAACTAAAGGACCGTCAAAGTCTGAGGAGTCACGCCGAGGTCGCGTGCTTTCTGCTCCACAGCAACAACGTTTACCGTAATGTTTTTTAAACTAGCAACATTCACGTTGATGTTGTGTAAAAATACCCTGAAATACACTGCCCCCTAGTGACAGGATACACACTGCCACACTAATTATAAAGAGTAATTATATGTTGTTATGTGTTGTGTTAGAAGTAAATGTGAATGTGTGTGTGTGAATAGGTAAATGACAGATTGTGTTGTAAAGCACCTTGGGGGGTTCCAGGACTCTAGAAGGTGCTATATCAAATACAAACCATTTACCATTTTACTATATTACTCCTTAGCAACAAGGTTTAGTGGAACCAGTTGATATAACTTGGTTAAGTTATTTAAACGTTGTTTTTTTACAGTGTATTTGACAGATCAAAGGAATGGCCTGTTCAATCAAGATTTTATTTGATGGTAAACAAATGTGTTTTTAATCCAGTGAAATCACAAACTTTCATCGCTCAACTTCTAAGCGACCAGTACTAGATGTAAAAACCAAACTCAAACATTAAAGTAAAAATCGATCAAGCTACAATTAAACATCAAAGCATTTTCTCCATTTATCTAAAGATGATTTTCCAGCATTATCTGCAACAATAACCAATCCGAAAATATAATTCCATTACTGGTTTCCTCCGAATGTTGCTGATGCTGAGCTGCAGCTTCCCTGTTGTGTCACAGGAGAATGTGGCGCAGAGGAAAGAATAAGCCCGCAGTAATGTTCATGCTTTATGATTCATGTGTGGCATTTCAAGGATGTTACTCAACTTATTTATTTATTTTTAGACGTTGGTTGTTTTGTGCATAATGTGGCTACCAGCTGTCATACTTTATTATTGTCACAGTTGTAACATGAGTTCACAGGAGTAAAGACATTAAAAACGACTAAAAAGGGTGATTTTATTTCTTTCTGTTTCTTACGTTTTTGCTCTCTGACCTACATGGATGGAACGTTATATTATTATTATTACTAAATTATTTTGTTTCACTGGCGTGTTAATCTGTGATCCCATCTTTTTCTTTTTTAATGATGAATTATACAAGCGAGTGAAATGAGTTTCTGGGCTCTCCCTTAGAGATAGGGTGAGAAACTGTCACCTGGGAGTTGCTCGGAGAAGATCTGCTGCTCCTCCACATCAAGAGGAGCCAGTTGAGGTGGCTTTGGTATCTGGTGAGGTTTTCCAGGCATTTCCAACCAAGAGGAGACCTAAAGGAAGACCCAGGATACTTTGGAGGGACTGTGTTTTTTGGCTGGCCGGCAAGTTTTAGGATTCCCCCAGAGGAGCTAGCCCGAGTGATTGGGGAGAGGGAAGTCTGACCCCCAATTAATGGAGGAAAATGGATGGATAGATTTTCATGAATCAATTAGCAAAATAGAGCATTCATTAAAATGCACCCTCTTGAATGAGAAAAGGAGTTAAGGTCTCTTGGTGCCGTGTTCATGAATGAATGGAAGAACAAGATTCCTCCATGGTGGGGTCGGGCCCTGCCTTCAGAGTAGGGCTGCTGCTCCTCCTCATCAAAATAAGTCAGCTGAGGTAGTTTAGGCATCTGATCTTGCTGAAAGCATTCTAACACCTGTCTACCCTGGGATTACCTTGGGATCTTTCATTAGGAGCAGGAGAGTGTCTCTATCTAAACATCTCTCCTGGGCCGTTACGTCCACCACCCAGTTTAAGATAAGTGGAAGAACAAAGATGGATTCTAACATTTTTTGCCTATCTGCTTTAATTTTGAAATATTTCACATTCAAACCTCCAAGTTACTCCATTAGACAAATCTTGGAATGAGTTATTTGTCTAACAGTCAAACATTTCTTTACAAATGCTTGCACTGACTGTAAACTATTCGAAGTAAAGTTATTTATGTGACGTGGACATTTTCTTATGATTTTCCAACATGCAGAAAATTCCAGGAGTTCGGTACTTTGGGACAGTTTCACAGAGAAAACACACATTTGGGCTTTTTAGAGTACATACGGTATATCATAATGCAGTGGACCAGTGATTCATTTGGACTGTTGCACACATAATCTCATAAAAATCATTCACAAAAATAAATCTCATGTGTTTTTTTACACTTTCTGGAATATAAGTTAAGCATGTATTCATATACTATTGTATCTAAGTGGAGTTCTTCGTTATTGCTCCATTGTTTGGAGTACGTCTCACACTGCATTAACATTGTGGGCGCTCCTGAATTAGTAATGAAATGCAATGTTAGCATCAGTGAGTGCAGTGAGCTTCATGCACAGCACAGCTGCAGCTCAGCTTTTATATGAAATATAATAATAATAACAGATTATAAATCATCAAGCGGCAGAAGGAGATCTCATTAGAGGCTTAAATGTACCTTGATGAAAACCAATCTGTGCCTAAACTTTGGACATTTGTTTCACGTTGCATCGCTGCTCTGAAATCCCACACTGCCTTAATTGTGTTCTTCAGGTCTGCAGAGCAGAGAGGAGTTTAAATGATGGTTCCACTCATTGTAATTGCAGTGTCTAATTTCTGTGGAGGACTCTAGCTGTGTCAGTTACATCTATCAAGTGACCAAACGCTTCCATCCACCTCTACTTTTTGCTTTATTTGCTATCTTTATGATGGTTTTTCTTTACATTCGTGTATTATTTTCAGGTAAACATGTTCATGGTTCATCTGTAAGATCTGCATTTAGCCTTGAGTTTTATCTGCCGATACAGTTCAACATTAACGCGACTCAATAGCAAACCGTGTTCTCCCCTTGGGCCCGTGCTCCCTCTGGCAGCCAAAGGCCCTGTCAAATTGGTTCAAAGTGATGCAGTAATAACCACTTTCATGCACGTTTCCAATCCTAAGCTGCAGGAGAAGAACAGAGGACATGATTTCTGCTCCGAGCCACGCGTTTTTCAGACATTTTAGTAGAAAATCGCCTATTAAGGTTCATACAGAGCCTCATATTGAACATGTTCCATGAAACCAACACTAAATATCACAAAATTCCTCTGAA